GGTGTATTTGACCATACCCAAGGTCTCATAAATTAATTTATTTTAATCTTGCCTAAAATAATTTCAATTTGAGGGTAGGTTTGTGGAAATCCTGATAAATAATTAAATCGAATCGGCTATACACGCGACCCACGCTTGGTATTGCTGGGACACAAAAATGTGGATAATAAAAAGGGAAACAAAGGTCTGAAAGATTAATTTACTCTAATCTTGCGTAAAAGAACTTCCAGTTCTGCGGCTATTGAGGATTCCCACTTTTTCTTTTCTTTCTAATAACAGTAGGTTCTAAGGAGAAGAAGAGCAGAGGTCAAGAGTTTCCATCCAGAAAAAACTTCATTGTCACTAAACAAAGTGTAGGTTTCTTAGGTATTCTAAAGCAGCGTGAATATCCTTTGAAACAAACACATTTTACAAACAAGCTGCTCTGGACTAAATTTCAATATAACTAACTCACTAAAAGCCACGCACATCAAAACATATATATCGATATATATACAGGAGGTTGGATATGTTATCTTAAAACGATTTGGAATATGCAAATCGGCAAGCCATGGGATACCCCTAGCTGATATGAAGGCGCGGTGAAACAACGTTATCGCTTTTAAGAAAGATATGTAACAATAGCAAAAGCCAACAAGGTATGTGTCATCAAGATAAGGCTTCCATTCACACCTGTTCAAGCAGCTGAAGACTGCGTGCTATTCCGTATGAAAACCTACCGGTCAAGTCGTCGGATGCAATGCCTATTTTTGTTCGATCGATCTTTTGAAATGAACACTGGGAAACCATTATCTTTTTTGTGGATATCTTCAGGGAGGAGTGGTGAGCTTTAAACATGACAACCTTACGGTGGAGACTTTTGCGTTTGAGATTTCACAACCATTTATGTATAAAGTGCTCAATCTCTGTAAAATATTCTCATACTTGGTGAAAGCTACTGAATTCGAGAATTTATTTTTGTAACAAATTATAATTTTTATTCTGTTTGTTTGTTTTTCTCTAAATATTACTTTGTGGTTTGTGAGACTCAACCATAAATTGTATGATTAAGTAAGGATTAAGTGAAACACTGAATTAATTTCTTAAATAGCAAGATGTGACATGATTGTAACAAATGAAAAATCAAAACATGGTTTAAAAACCTGTCAAAAGAAAAAGCAGCGTTTTAATAATAACTCCCTGATAGTGTGTTTGATTGTAACTTTCATAAATAATTGAATCTGAAAATTTACTGTAGTCAGTGTTCGGTGATATCCAACAAAAATGTTATGCATATACCAAGTTTCGAATTTCATGAGGCTGTCGTCTATCATGTATATATACGTACACAGTTCATTGGAGAGAATATTATACCGTATCTCAATACAATGTACGTGGATTTAGAATGTATAACTTAACCTCTAACGACAGATAAATCAAAGAATATATATCACTGGTCAGCATCTTTATGTGAGTGTAGTAAAATGTTATTAGCTGTCATTACTAACGTTTCGAGAGCCAATGTTTTATTTTTTTATTTGCTCTCTCTCTCTCTCTGGTTGAGGATTTGTGATAAGACTATTTATAGAAATATATGTTGTTGTTTTTATAGTAATATTTTATTCAATTGTTGTGTATCCTGTTTCCTCGTGACTAATTTGAAACCAAGGTCGTTGCTAGCCGCACTGTGTAATTCACCTTTTCATAAATATATATAAGGAAAAATACTTGTATGCCAGAGTTTGGCAGTTTGCATGTTTCCGGAGTCATTTTAATATAAAGAATGGCATAGTGATGTGTGAACACAAATAACACCGTATTTGGGTGTGGCATGTTTGACGAGCTTGCTGGATTACCACCAAGGCTGTGAATATGTTGCATTTGCACACTTTCTTGTCAGAGTATTGTTGTCTGTCGGGTTTTCATTGGATCTGTCAGGTTAACAACTGATACGAACTATGTGATATGTTGAATCTATTTGCTACTTGTAGAAAAATGTTATTTACCACACTGAACAACACATTACTGACAGATAGTCTCTTTTTTTACTCAGATGATTTTAATTCATTTTTTAATACACACACACATGGATATATACATGCTCTTAACAACAAATAGACTTTTGTTTACAGTCATAACTTTACATATGTATTATTTTACCTTATTTATTATTCTACACAATGCTGACAGTTTACGATAACTTTCAGGAAATTTCTTAATTATTTTGTGCAAATATAACTGGATAAGCGAGAAACAAATTTCAGAACAACCTAGATGTTTCCATCAGTTTCATTGATTTTTATTGAAAATACTTTCATCTCTTAATGAAATTCAAAATATAATAAATGTATGTGTACATAAACAAAACCACTCCAATATTTTACGAAAGTACAATATGTACTAATGAAAATATAATAATTGTATCTCTTCTTTAGTCCCAAATTAGCCATTAAATTGTAAGTTTGGTTCCGGTTTAGGCCTGCTGAACTATGTTAATTATGTACTCATGATGGCCACCCAATACCTTTGTTAAAAAATAAATTACAAACAAACCAGGTAATTTTTGTAAATAAACATTAATTATTTATTTAAATGAAAAATATGATCTATTTTTCAATTAAGAAGAGAGAGAAGCTAATCACCAAATTGTATAAATTCATTTATACATGAAATTAACAAATTTGTATTTGTGGTAAAGTTACTAAAACTACCCGCCGCCGTCCCTAATTTTGTACTACTGATAAGAAGAAAGGCGGCAGCCAGTCAGTAGCATCCTACCACACACCATTAACCCTAAAGAGT